GAAGTAAATGATTATTTGGATAATATGTGCCTAAGCCTTTACAGGACATGCCACAAGCCAAGTAGGCGAGGATTCTACAAGTCCATGAAGAAGTAATACAGCAGTTTTATTATCAGACGGAGGATCTTTTCGTCGATCCTGTGATGCTATTCATTCGCAAATTATAACTATCCTGTGTGAAAAGTTCAAAACTTTCGGCAGCATATCCCGCTTGGTGCACAATCTTTAATTCAATTTCGCTGTAGATGGAAGTTATATTTACAGTTTCACACGTTACGTGTACATGACTTTCATTCTATGAAAATTAATATTGATAAGGTTAATTACGACTGTTTGTCGTTCTCGTACCTTTGCATATTTGCCTTGAGCACGAAGGACCACTCACTGATGTGGAAATGAAAATGAAACTAATTTCCTTACTTGGATTTATTGAACACTGAACCTCATGGCTCCTATGTAATTCTTGCTTGCTTGGGCAAGAATGTTGAATAAAGTGAGAGTAAATGCTGACTACTTGAATAATCTTTCGTGACTAACTATGCTAAATAACTATTTGCAACTAATTGTATTGACTAACAATTTGTGACTTCTGTCTTGAATAACATTTTGTAATTAACTCTATTGACTAACTTTTGTAACTGAATATATTGATTAACTTTTTGTAAAGTTAATCGAGTACGCAGTTGTTATGACACGATGATCACCATGATCCGGAATATTTCGTTGCACATAAATTGACCTAAATGTACGGGGCGCCTTGCCTGAAAATTTGAAGTAGCCAAAGATTTGATTTGCCACGTTTAAATTAGGGAACATCCATGCCATGAGTGTCGCCTACCTTTGGCCTATATAATAAATATAAATATATGTAGAGATATAATTTAATGGTGTTTATTATATTAAGTAATAAAGAAAACGAAAACAAAACAACAAATAATAAAAGCAAGATAGACAACACAGACTACAATAATTCGAATAAACTCAAACGACACAATTAATTCTTTTATGTAACAATAATTCGAATAAACTCAAACGACACAATTAATTCTTTTATGCAACACAAAATGATCACTTTTTGCACCACTTCAACGCTGTTTTACAACTCGCACGACTCTCTCCTTTTTTAAAAAAGAAAA